GAAAGACGAGGTGGATGGGAGAGTTGGAAGGGGTCGACCTCAACGAACGTACCTCAAAACAATGTACCTCCCTTGCGCTGCGTATCCCTCGGCCCACCTTTGCCGCGTCTCCCATCACTTGACCGACCGACACCCCCCAGTTCTTCTAACTCCACTTCTTCAAAATAGACTCGCCCAGGCCTAAAACTGACTTCTGTACATGGGCCACGAAGTTTCAATTGCACTGTACGTGCGCACCCGCACATGGTATTTTGTGGAAGAGCCACACTCAAGGGGCCAAAGACCAATCATTGTTTAATTGCATGCTATTCAGCTTCCAAGTGTTTGCATTTTTTATTGTAGTTTATTTGTAATATTATGCCATTGTGGTCTGAGAAGATGCTAGATATGATTTCAATCTTCTTGAATTTGGAGCGACTTTAGCTGTGACCCAATATGTGGTGTATCTTTGAAAATGTCCCCTCTTGGGTTAATCCTCTTGTATCAATGAGAATATTGGCCTGTAATTCTCTTTCATTGTGTTGTCTTTATCTGGTTTTGGGATTATCTGGTTTTAGTATTATGAAGTGGCCTTCCTTATCTCTTGTTATGGCCTTCACTTTGAGGTCTAATTTGTCAGATAAAAGTATTGCTACCCCAGGTTTTTTTTTTTTTTTTCATTTCCATTTGCCTGATTGATATTTTTCCATCCCTTTACTTTCAGTCTGTGTGAGTCCCTTTTTCTGAGGTTGGTCTCTTGTAGACAGCATATATGGGTCATGTTTTCTTATCCATTCAGCCACTTGATGTCTTTTGATTGGAGCATTATTTCCATTTCCATTTAAAGTTATTATTGATAGGTACTTGTTTGTAGTCATTTTTATTTTTTGTGCCTGTGTTCATTCTTCCCTTTTTATTTCTTCTTTTTACACCAGTCCCTTTAGCATTTCTTGCATTGCTGGCTTGGCCTTTATTTTTGTCTGTGAAGCTCCTAATTTCCCCTTCAATTTTTTTTTTTTGTGTGTGTGTGTGGAAAGGCAAGCTTTATTTCCAAGCAACCTGACCAGAGTGGCCAGGGGGTCCAGAACTACAAACTAGTAGAAAGGAGAACACAGTTACATGTTCCACTGGCAGGGTCTCAGTCGGGAGTCTCACCAATTCCTCCTGATCGCCAAGCACCTGCCCAGGTTCCTCTTCAGGCTGAACCTAAGAAAGTAGGCTTGAAGAAGCCCATGACATCTTTGTTGTCCAAACACACCTATTTCAAGAAAGAAAACACCTGGAGGCAACTTGAGGGAATCTGCTTAATTATTAAAATAAATATTTACATGGAAATACAGTTATTTTAGTTCTTCACATTTTCACACTTAAAAGAGACACAGAGATTTCCTTCATGTTTTCAGCAGTGGAATTGGTAAAGATCCTGCCTGTTTCATAGGAAATGTATTACTTTCGATTACTCCTCACAACAGCCACCTGGAAGATTATTCCATCACTTTTGAAGGACTGGTTGGGTTGGCATCTGCAATGGTAGCCAAATAAATGAGATTTCTGTGTAGCACATGCTGGTACCTACGGTGAAAAACAGGCAAAAATTAGTCTTGTTTTTACTGAACATGAACAAACAACTGGAAGAGAATTTACCTACTCTAGTGGAAAGGCTCATCCACTGACTGATGAGTCGGTGTTAGCCACCTTCTTGTTTAACACTTTCAAGGAAAATATATCCACTTATTTCCATAGGCACCTCTCTAGACTATGGTATTGAACCAAACTTCTAAACTGGTCCCTGTGCTCTATCTCTGTACCCCTACACATAACAGCCTGAGTGATCACTGTGCAATTTAAGTTAAGATCATGTCCTATCTCTGTTTAGTACTTTTCAAAGGCTCCCATCTCATTCTGAGCAAAGCTGAGCCCTTCTCGTGGCCCACAAGGCCCTACAAGATCGGGACCTCTAGTTGCCTCTCTGATCTCATCTTCTACCACTTTCCCTTTGCTCACTGAGTTCTGGTTACAGCGGCATCCTTGCTGACATTTAAAGACATGGAGCACACTCCAGCCTGGGGGCTTTTCCACCTCATGCTCTGCCTCACATACTGCACAGCTGGCTCCCTTACCTCAGGTATCTCCTCAAATGTCACATCAGAGATACCTGGTATAACACAGCACCCTGCCCCCCACTTACCCACACTTTATTCTTATTCAAAGAGTTATTAGCATGTGCTTAATTATATGATCTCTGGTTGGGTTGGCATCTGCAATGGTAGCCAAATAAATGAGATTTCTCTGTGGCACATGCTATACAAAAGGTAAGCTCCACGCCTGCAGAGCTACTGTTTTGGTCCTGATTCCCCAGTAGCTAAGACAGTTCCTGGTACTCAGCGGGACTTACAAAATACCTGAACAAACTTAAAAGCAGGGATGGAATACCTCCACGTGTGCTTCCTATTGTAGCGATTCTCGGTCAGGGAGTCGAGCTCCCTACCAAGGAAGAAAAGTCAGACTAGGAAGCAGGAGCCATGGCAGGTGCAATGTGAAAAAGCCCACCAGGAGACTTTGATAACTTTCTTACCCAGAGGCTGAGAATCACTGCACCAAATGGAATGCTTTGCAACTCCTTCTCATATAGAAAAATGGGAGTGTTTACTATAAACTGCAAAAAAGCAAATGACCAAATACCAGAGTCAAATGTAAAAACTTATCCAAAGACGGATTATCTCTACTATTCCACTGAGCTGTTCAGTGTAGGATTGTAGGTGATTTCTTTTTTTTGCGGGGGCGGGGGGGAGTATGTCTTTCTTAACTATGACTTCCGTAACAATGAAATAATGTATTTCTCTATAATAAACGGCATAATTCCTGGACTACATTTAGAAAACAGACTATTTTCTCTCACTAGAGCACATTAAATTACTGTACAAAATTTACCTCTGGCTTAACTTAGACATCTTTCATTGGTCTTAGTGTGTTAACGTTGCAAAGTTGGAAATGGGAGGGAACTTAGCAACCAAATGGTCTGACCCCACCCAACTGAACAGAAAAAGGGTGAGCCGCCGGGGATCCACGATAAGACAGCCGCCGCCGCCACCACGCGCTCCCAGGAGCACGGCTACCCCTTTATTTCCTCTCAGGCTGCCTCTCCTAAACTGTAAGGGTCCCCAAGAGACTTGCAATCACGGGAGCAACGGGCAGTGGCAGCTCACCCCAGGCCAGCCCCGGAATCTGTCTCCAAGGCCCCTTTTCTCTGACTTTCCAGGGAGCCACAGCAGCCCCGCCCAGGCTCTCTCCTGCAGCTTCTTCCACCCTAAGCCCTTCCTTGTGTCACTGTTCCCGGCTTTGATACACGCACCCTAAAAACAGAAACGAGAAAGCAGCCGCCAGGATCATCTCCATACGACTGTCAGCTGATTTCTCAACAGAAACTTTGCAGGCCAGAAGGGAGTGGCAAGAAATATTCAAAGTGCTGAATACCAAGAACCTACAACCAAGATTACTTTATCCAGCAAAGCTATCATTCAGAATTGAAGGTCAGATAAAGAGCTTCACAGATAAGGAAAAGCTAAAGGAGTTCATCACCACTAAACCAGTATTATACGAAATGCTGAAAGGTATCCTTTAAGAGGAGGAAGAAGAAAAAGGTAAAGATACAAATTGTGAACAACAAACATGCATCTATCAACAAGTGAATCTAAGAATCAAGTGAATAAATAATCTGATGTACAGAATGAACTGGTGATTATAATGAATCAGGGACATAGAAAGGGAATGGACTCACTATTCTTGGGGGGGAAAGGGGATTGGGAGATGCAGGAAGAGACTGGACAAAAATCGTGCACCTATGGATGAGGACTGGCCTGTGCCCTCTTGCAATCCAGGACCCCTCAGGGGATGTTGGAGAGCCGGTTTCAGCCCAATCCCCACAGGCCAGGTCGAGGGACCCCACTGGTGCACGAATCCGTGCACTGGGCCTCTAGTATGCATATAAGATCTTTGATTAATCTCTTCCCACCCTCCCGCTTCCTTCTGAGATTCATCAGTCTGTTCCATGTTTCCATACCTGTGGTTTCTGCTCCTGCATTGAGCATCTGCCCCATGGTGGTCAGTGCACATCATAGCTACCAGTTGAACAGTCGGACGGTTGGCTGGTCTAATGGTCGGATGGTTGCTTAGGCTTTTATATATGTAAATAGGCAAGATATAGAAGCAACCTAAGTGCTTCGATAGACAAGTTCATAAAAAAGCAGTGGTGCAGCTCTGTCCCGGTGGTTCAGTTGATTGGAGTGTGTTCCCTACACCAAAAGGTGGTGGATCCAATTCCCACTCAGGGCACATACCTAGTTTTTGGGTTTGATTGCAGGTTGGGGCATGTACAGGAGGCAAGTGATAGATGTTTCTCTCTCTCTCTCCCTTCCTCTCTTTCTCTAAATCAATAAAAACATATCCTCAGATGTGGAAGG